TCCTTCTCCTTCTTGCTCTCTGTTTTTGATGTTAAGTAATACAAGGCCTACCTCAACTCACCACAAAGCCGCTTAGCTTGTGATATATATTAAGACATAGAGGGTTGATGCTTATAGAAGTGTTTGTGCCATTAAAGTTGGAGTTTGTTTCGTGGACCTTGAGTGCTATTTCACCTTAATCCACACCGAGGGGATTTGCGGATCTTAGTCACTCTCCCCTTCCCGCAGGTGGGGCGTGACAGGGCTGAAGGACATTCTCTAATTTGTGTAGGAAATTCTCAACAAGCAACAAGAATAGGCTGAGGCCAAGTTTCAAAAAAACATAGGAGGACTTGACTCCTAGAATGTATATCAGCTCAAAATTTTTTTAATTCCTGCTAGAATTAGTGAGAGAAGGGACACTTCGGGTGGCTGCCTTTTTGAGAATGTCAGTCCTGACAAGAATTGGAAGCAGCTGTTTGATACGTCAAATATAAATAACCCAGTTACAAGCCTAGCAGGGAAGGTGTTGGACCCAGCAAGGTGAGGCCAAATAAAGTTCGGATGATGCAAGGGGAAGGTTAGAAAGAGACACACTGAACTTTATTCCAAGGAGAGAAATTAATGGTTATTGTAAGCAAATCAATTAAATTAGCAGTGACCTAACTGTTCTGCTTGCATCCATTTGCTTTTCATATGAACACAAAGTACATTAGTACATCTGTTTCCTACAAATGATTTCATTTTGTGTGGTTTTTTAAGGGATTTCCTGACTCTAAATGTAAGGCTGGATCCATCACTAACTGCTTCTCTCTAGTTAGCGTTTTACAAGTGCTAGAAAAATCAAGGAAGTACCTAATACTTTGTTTACTTTTGAATATTGTAAGGTATTTTCTCCCTATAACAATTATAAAAGGACTGATTTTCTCCTGATATAAATTAACATCACTCCAATAAAATCACGGATTCTGATTTGCACCAGAGTATTCCCAGAGAGAAATAAATTTCCCAGAATTTTTACACCAGAGAGAATGTTCTTTTTCACAGGTACATCGCAGTATGACCCTACGCATTCTTCAAGCTATTTCTTTTCCTCATTGTCTAAGACAATTCTTTCTTAGCTTGTGCTCAGAGAAGCTAGGACTTTAGCTTTGTGGATAGGTGACTTTTAGCCTGTGCTATGTTTCCTTTGCTTCTTAAGATAGTCATATATTTAGGAACCTTTCCTCTATTAGAACCTCCTGTCAGGGTGCCATGGGAGCTGTGGCAGAGGTGGAGACCAGCACTCCTATGGCATCGCTAGGGCAGGGACAGAATGCCCTGGGCTGAGCCGAAATGGGGCTCCTGAGCCCATGGACAGGGGTGGGGTCCCATTTGAGAACCCTGATGCCTCTGGCAGATTTTTGTGGGTAATACTTTTGACCTGAGAGATGGAGCTTAATTTTATCTTCAGTAAGTCGTAAATAGTCACAGAAGCCATTTAACACACTATTAGATTTTGGTTCAATACAAATAAAGGAGCCTTGGGCCATTCCCTGTTTGCTACGTAAGATGGAACCATCCAGCAAAGAAAAGTCAAACCCATTTGTGCATTTAGCAAATTGCTAATGCCATTCTAGGTCACCTAACTACCTTACTAAAAAATGCTGCAGTTTTACAAGACAAAGTGCTGATCGATAAAACTACTTCTCAAGAAGAAAGTTGCTCCCACGTATTGCAGAGGTAGCTATATTTTGGTAAAATTCACACCAAGTTAGATACCACATGTCAGCAGTTAGCTAAGTGGATTTTTTGCCGGTCCCTTCTTGCCTCCTTTCAGCTGTAAGTGTTTCCAGGTCACAGTCCCCAGATATTCCCCAGAGGTGATCATATT